ACCAGATCAAAATAACCCAACTCTTCATGCAGTAGAATGTTTGTCTCAGATGGTAAAACTGCCCCGAGACCAGAAATGAGCCTTCTTTCAGTATTGTCAGTATGGCAGAACCAAATAGTGTACTGTTCCTCCCATACTCTAAACTCTGACACATATGATGACATTTTCTTTTGCATGACTTAATTTCCTTGAATGAGACCCAAATTTTACAAAGACATAGAAACGAGTGCACAGGCTATGACAGAAAGGAAAGGTAAATTCTGGCATTATGTCATTAGAAAGTTACAACTTTTACATCAGATTGAAGCAATGTAAAGCCCAGCCAACAGGAGGCTGGAATTTCAACAGCTCACAGTGGCTAAAATTCTAAACTTAGGTGATCAAAAGGTTAACTGCTCTTATGGTATATTTTAACCAGTGGTGGAGAGGAACAAAGTGCATTTACCTGATTACTGTATTTAAGTATTTTTTTGAGTATCTTTACTTTACTTGAGTCATTTTTTGGGGGGCTATTAATAAGTTTCACTACACTACATTTCAAGGAAGCTGCTAGTTACTTGTTACTTTTTAAATGCAATTTCAGCATGGCAGAAGCCATTAGGACTGAATTTAGACAGCACTGCGTTAGAGATTTTCATGACATTTCACAAATGTGAGAAACTCAGGGTAGATATTATTTTTAGTTTATACTTTTAATTTGGGTGTTACTTGTTGCCATGTGACCAAGTTGTTCAGTAGTGTGAGTTGCGGGTTCTTTGTGGTAATAGATTCAACCTTAAACCTTTTTCACATAATAAAAGTGTCAGGAGAATCGAGACAATTTTGTTTTGTTTTTGCTTTTTGTTTTAAACCTCTTAATATCCACCTCATTCTCACCTATTTTGCATACCCAAATGGAAAAGCAAATAACTTAGGAACTGTAAGCCCAAATTATATGTGTGATACATTATTTGAAAGCTAACACTTTTTAGTTTCTGAATATAATTATTGACAATTGGGTGAGTAAAACACCCAAGCTGCATCAAGCCCAAACTGCATCAGTTCAAACAAGATTTAAAGATGGTTTTTCTTTTATTCTCGAAAATAATAGGTCTTTTTTGAACAGCAGTTCAAAAAAACAGTTGTTTGCTTGTTATTGCTGCTCTGTCATGGTACATTTTAACATGCTGCTATATCTGTGTTAATTGTGCTTTGGTGCTCACTATGTCCATAAAATAAACTTGGTGGTTGAATTTTGGAGAATCTAAGCTCTCCAAGGATGTCTAACATGTCTATACTGGTAAACATTTTACCAGTGTAATGTTCATGCATTCTGAGTATTTGTAAACACCTTAAAACGGTGATACAGAGGTTAACCAAGAAGTAATCATCTGGGCTCTTCTTCCCTCTATAAAAGACATTTCATCCCAGTGCTGTGTGTTGCAAGCCCGTAACATCATCAGTGACCCCCTCACTCCCCCTATATGGACTGTTTTGCATTATTCGGTGCAGGATGAGCAGGTTCCGTAACAGCTTTTTCCCTGCCTGTTGAACTGTTGTAAACTTTAATTCAAATCCTTTTAAATAGAATTCAACTCGGTGTTTCTACCACATTTTGCACCATATCTATTTATTCATTTTTGCACTACTCTGAAACCTCCACATCAATGCCCTTTTCACCATGTCTCTCCTGCACTGATTACATATTGATCACTGCTGCACTTTAAAACGTTGAAAAACTGTATGCATTGTATTGTGTAGACACGCTGTGTATACAAAATTACAATAAAGTTAGTCTAAGTCAAAAGAGTTTTCCTTAGCTGGCATTTTGATGCTGAAGTTCTTTACAGATGGTGTAGAATTTTTAGCAGAGTTGCTCTAACATCAACACTTCAGGTGGTTTCTGAAAGTTACATGGTACATGGTAAATTACACAGAAATTAATATTAGAACATCTAATTTGTATTTTTGAATATTTAAGTACTTTTAAATACATGCACTTTTGAATACTTAAGAATTTTCAAAATGAGTACTTTGATACTTCAAATTGAGTAAATGTTTGACTAAGTAAGTTTTACTTGTAGTTGAGTAAGACTTTACTATGAGTATTAATACTTTTACTCAAGTACAACTTTTGAATACTTTGTGCACCACTGATTTTTATATGATTTATGTCAAAAATTGTACTTGATTTGTTGTCAAAGCTTTTGTATTGCCTTTTATTTCAGTACATTCTTGGTTCCACTCTGGGAACCCTTCTTTATGCACTCTTTTTTTTCTTCTTGCAAACATCTATCTTACATTTCCTATCTATCTTACAAACATATTCTGTGCTTTACAACTTAACATGAAAAATTATCCTGCTTCCTTTCTGAAAGGGTAGTAGTTCTGATTGAAAATTTAAATACAAGAATATCATACATTTAAAAATATATATAAAAATTTTTTTTATCTGATTTCATCAAATAAAAGATAAAATTTCATGAATCCTCTAAGTATTTTTTATTTTGATACTTTTGGACATCAGCTGTTTAAACCTAGATGAGCCAAAACAGTTTTTTCTTTTGTTTTTTAGAAATGTCCTTCTTTTTATACTACCTGGTAATAGCTTTAATACAAAAGTAAAATATTTCTGAAAAGCATTTAGCAATATCATTGGTTGTATGTGTTCTTCATGTGAAGATACGTTTGATTTCAAAATTCCAAATAATTTATTATAAACTTTCTCCAGAGTAGTCATCTTAATGTTTACTGATTTAAGAAGTGCAAATGGAACACACTGTTATTTGGTTTAAGATAATCAGTGGCTAAACTAAAATGCTTAAGTCTAAATGAATGCAGTTGTTACACACATGTGATAACTATGATAGCAGTCTCAGTAATTTGAGACTGTATTTTGTAAGGACTCAGCACAGCACACTTTTCACTCAATCCAAATTGATATCTTTTCTGTGGCAAATAAAATAGTCAACATGTTACTTCTCAACTCCTAAAACATGGACCTCTGTATGTCTGTCATCCTCTGATTAGAAAAGTGGATCTGCTGTCATATAAGTGGAGGTTTATAGACCGATGTAACGGTATTACAGAAGACATGTAGTTGTCATTTAGAATCACTTTTATAGGTTACCGGTACCCAATTTTTTTTTTTTTCCACTGAGGCAGTTGTCCTTGCTTGTTTTGGCCTTAGTTTACAGGCCAAACATATTGCTATTATCTCTAATAGTTTATTGAGATTAAAGTGGAACAAAAGTCAAAATCCATGCTTATCTGTACAAAATTCCCTAAGTTCTGAATCTTTTTTCATTTATCAAGTTGAGCATAAAGCTGGTAGATTGTTGATTTGTAATCTGAGCCCAATCCTCTGGAATCTGGGTCCAACTACTTACATTAGATTAGGCATGTATACTTTTTGGAAACAGAACTTTGCAGATATTCTTATTCAATAAAGTGTTTTCACAAAAAATTTACCAACTGCTTCAATAGGAGATATCTTCCATTTTTAGGTGAATAAATTTTTGGCTAGTACTGTGCAGTGTGTATTAGAGAAGCTATGAAGAAGAGGAGTAATGGGGAATTTTGCAGCAACACTTAATGTTCCAGAATGTCCGTTTTTGTGTATGCCTGCAGCTTGAACAATTTTGTTGTTTTGTGTGGGCATCTCTGCAGGTCAGAGCTACCATTAATTATTGATAAAAAAAAGCTTAGCGCATGTGCTGGCAGAAGGTGTTGCCTAGCACAAGCTTCATCGTGCCAGAGACATCTGCAGGAGAGACAGTAAAAGCAAGTGGGAGAAAAGAAACCGAGAATTTGCACCAAAAAGAGTGATCAAGACTCAGTCATCCAATCCTAAACCTGAACTTGCCTCCTTCTACCTGCTAGCAACCAGAGAAAGAGGGACACGAAGAAAACAGGACAGAAAAAAACACTTCAGGCATAGAAGGCATCCTTTGGAGAGGAAGCAGATTAGATCATAGGAAAAGTTTTATTGACTTCTTGTGGGAGCACAGCAATGGATTTCATAACATTCTTTAAGAAAACACAACCTGAGGAACAAAAAGAAGGGAGCCAGTGAGATTTATCAGTTTATTTTTTGCGAGTGCTTCTAAAGCTGTGGGTGTTAGAAAGAGCTAAAGATGATGAGTCGCCAGGCTTGTTTTTACCGGGTCCCTCCCCCGGAGCTCCATCGGCGTAACCATCTCCAGGCCGATCCGGCTAAGACAAGAACTCTGCAAACTGTCATTGATATGAAGGTAGGACTCAGCAAATCCTCGAGGAGAAAACATTTTCAGTGACATCACACTTTTCTGCCTTTTAGTAATGTGGTATCAGTTCTTGGAAAAGTAAATCTATCTTCAAATAGATTTGAATCGAGGTTTGCCTGTGTTATATGGGCAATGAGTGATGTTGTTTTCTTTTTCAATGCTTGTACGGTATTTCATCAAAGTGACATACTCATTCTTCCTGTTGCAAAAGAGCTGAATATTTGCCTAGATTTTAAATACTCACATATAGACTGTAAACTAATTATTACCTGTATGTATATCTTATTATGCCTCAGTATTTGTATAGCCACCATGTCCAAAGTTCATTATTGGCCCATGCCGAGTTAAGCACTTATTCAATTTGTTTCAAATGTCACATATGGAGGCTTTCTCTCTCATCTCAGCCTTTGAATCCTTTACTGCTGTGAAAAATGTACTTGACTCCACATGAGTCTTTGAGTTATCCACCACACATACTTAGGGTTCATTCAGCAAAGCACTTATTCCAAAAGTGACTTCCTTACCTCAAAGCTACAGATACTTTGTAATTTTTTCCACTTATTAACATTCAGTGTTAGTCACAGATGGAATCTGAATATTACTCTGACAGATTGATTTGGAAATAAAAATAGAAAGAGGCAGTTCAAGCAATGTTACTTATTTAGTTTAAGCAGCTAAACGATTAGCCTTTTCCTTATATCACATCTTGCTTTTGTTTTAGCCTTTGATGTGCAAATGTCTGCTTTGTAATTGCAGAACACAAACCCATCGTTCTGTTTTGATCCTGATGTTATCTGGCAGGTATTGTACTAGCGCTTGTATTTATCTTTTCCTTATTTTGACATAGACAACTGTGTTCCCGTATGACTTTTTACCCCACTTTTGAAAAACTTTCTCTGGGTTGAATTGTAAGAATGCCATGTACCATTGTTTGTATCCTGGAAAGTTGGAAGTTTGGCTCTTATTACATGGTAAAACTTTTGCATGTCATGTTAATTTAAAAAATGAGCTGTTTGTCTTTGCTGTGACTAATTTTGTATCCTCCCATGGAAATGAGAAACATAGTTTAAAATGCAAAAATCAAGTCTAGTGTATCACTGTTTTCCTGACTATCCAAAACAACTCTACCCAAGTTTACACTCTGGTATGTTTGTTTCAGTAATTCGATACGTAACTTTATACATTCCCTCTTGCTCAGTCTGTGTGTCTGTGTTTTGCGCTGATGATACTGGGCAGCCCATTTCAAAGTTTAGTGTTTAACACTTGTCTAAACCAATGCCACCATACAACTTTAGGACCTGGACATGACAGACCGTTTCTTCACGGATATTAAAAAACAAAAATGTTTTGAGCTGATCTATGACCTATTATCCCAAATTAACTTAACATGTGACACAGAGATGTATACTGGTTATAAGTTGGTTACATACTCCTATGACCATAAATTATATATTTATTTTTGGATTTTTTTGAGAGTAAATGGTTATATAACACTTAATATGAGTTTATGTAAAACTTCTGTGTCATTAGTATTCATGATGGTTTTTTTTAAGCTTTTAACCCCTTCTTCCAGATATACGTATATAAACTGTTTAAAGCTAGTTAACATCTTTATTTCCGTAAATGATGATACATATAGTATAATGGCAGTTACTTTACAATTACTCTTAATAGAACAGTAGGGTCATTTGAAATAAACATCCCCATTACATCTTTGTATAAATGTTGTAGGTGCAACTCAGATTGGATAGTCTTTGTTGATCTATATCTTGTCTTCATGTTGGCTGTTTTGTGATTAAATTCTCTATATAAAATTTGATACTGCTGTTGGATTAATAGCTGATGAGTTTCTGACTCTTTGCCACACAATTTTTGCTGGTACAGGACACCAAGATTTCTTCCCTGGAAAGAAACATCAGAGACTTAGAGGATGACGTCCAAATGCTAAAAACCAATGGCCTGTTGCACCCTGATGACAGGCACGATGAACTCAAGCAGGTGGAAGTCTACAAGAGCCACTCTAAATTTATGAAAACTAAGGTAGACACTCTGCATGAAACATAAGCCAGCAACACAATGCATGCGTGATTTGAATTATGCATGTTAATTAGCTAGTGCATGAAAACAATTTTTTTTAATCATGTCATATAAACATTTTTGTAGCAGCTGTTGAACGGTTTCTTATGTTGTCATGCATGTTACATATTATTAAAAGCATGTTTTATATGGTAATGAATGTAAAAAAAAATGAATGAAATTTGGTTTTCTGTTGTAACTGGAGGATGAGCACCTCTTGATATCTTTATTTGGTAGATCTGGCTGGAGTGCCTACATTTAAATCTTCCTCCTTTCCTCATGGCAGAGATTTGATTAGGTGTAAGAAACACTCCATATATATTTGGGTCCGTATTGGCAAGTAACATCCAGTAGCATCACGCATTTCATTTCTTTGTTTCACTACACCCAAAAGGTACTGTGATGGATTTTAATCTCGTTATTGTGGAGCTTACTGGAATAAAAGTAACTTGGTATCAATTCAATTCAGTTCATGTCACATGTCATCTCAAGGCACTTTATAGAGACAGGTCAATGAGATCTTACAGTCAAACTAATTCAAAGTTTTCTATCTGAGGTAAACCAGTTCATTGCATCAACTCATTGACTCGAAGGCAATCCCTCACACCAAGCATGCTTGTAGTGACAGTAGAGAGGAAAAACTGCCTTTTAACAGGTAGAAACCTGCAGACCAGCAGAACCGGGCTCAGGGTGAGCAGTCATTTGCTGAGACCACTCACACAGAGTGGTATCATGTAGAAGAATCGAGTTTTTAGAATTATATTAGCTTTACTGCTTAATTGAATTCAAAAATCCTTAATTAAAGAAAAAAGTACATTTTTACTGTGAATTACTGTAGATTATGTCTTCCAAGTTTTTCTTAAGATTTATCCTAGATAATAAAGGTTGTGAGATGAGGGGTCTCCTCTAGGGGTATGTTTTACAAAGAATCTATGGAAGCTTCTGAGTAAAGATACTCTGTTGTCTCCTGAAATGGATAGTCAGGTTATGGTGCATTTTGTTGCTTGATGTATGAGAAGATTAATACAGTGTTGTCATAAAGCTATGATCCGCACCAGTACTTTATACTATCAATAACTTAATTTTCTTTTTTTCATACCGAGTAACATAGCAGTTTCTGAAATTCCCAGACCAGCTTTCCCTGATTTAACAAATAAACAATTTTCAAAGTCTTTTCAATCCTCGTTCTTCACCAATCTCATTGAGTTTTAATTTAAGCATCTCCTCCTCACTGACTAGATGTCTAAGAGCCATCTAAGACCTCTAGATTTTCAAAAGGCTAGAATGTTTTAAAACATATGCAAATTTGTTAGCATTAGCAAGAACAAGAAGAACAGCAGTTGATAACTCTGTTATGAGTATGCAGATTATATTTTAATAACCAAACCGGACAGTTTTGGGGGGAGGGTATGCAAAAGTAAATGTTAACCATCTCGAAAACATTTAAACCTGAAACTCACTAAGAAACGTTCACATCAAATGAGTGAACGATTTCCATGTTATGCCTATGCAGAGGGTGGCTCTGTAAAGTAGTGTTGCGAGGCAGAAAGAGGCGAAGGTTGCAATTCTAGTGTTGCGAATGGCCTGTTTTTTTGCAAATTCAGCAAGGCTAGATCGCCGCCTTGCATGTGAAGTACACAAAGTTTGTAGGAGTTTAAAAAACTGAACTTTTGTTTACATTGTCATTGCGAAAACCAATCAGGGTCTAGATATGATTGAGACCTACAGTGAAGGGGCACAGTGGAGACAAACTTTGTTAAAAACAGAATCGAAGATGGAGCAAATATTGTTGACAAACGATGAATAAGGGAATGCTCTTAAGAGGTTTGTGGGTGGCTTTTAAGTAAGCTAATTTAGTCCTAATGGGATGGTTTGATAGTCCTACCCCAGTGAAACCAACTGAGCAAAAGGTAGAGTGGCCTTTTGCTCACTGTGCGAATTCCCCTGCCATGCAAACTGTGTTTGCTGACCAGCAAGCAAAACAGATGCCTTAGGCAATATTTTCATAGGTCTTGCAGTCTGTGTAAATGCACAATTACAGGCACAGCTTTTGCCTCTTTATTTAGCACATTTGAAAAACACGCGCCAACTGTGCAGCAACTGTCACCTAAAGGAAGCGATTGAACAATGACAGGAAAAGGTGTGTGTACATATTAGCATATTTGATTTTTAAAATGTAACAACCAGTGACGTGCGGTCAGGGGAGGCAGGTGAGGCAGTGCCTCACCAGCCATCATGGAAAGAAAGAAAATATATAATCATAAAGTAATTTAAATTGTTATATTCATCCGGTGGTTTGTACTAAAAAATATTCATTTTTCATGTAGCTTCACCAATTTCGATTTTTATTTGTTCAAAATCGCTGAATTTTCTTATTTTCCCATTCAAATGCTTGGAAGCGATGCTGGTGAGGCAGCAGCGAGCTCTGCCTCACCTTGGATTGCGCAACCCCTGGCTCTGCGCTGGCTGCAAAGCGGAGAGAGCATGTTGCTGTACGGCGTCAATAAAATGGTTTAAACAAATGTAATATGTGAACTTATTTCTAATAATTTGGCTTATGTATATAATGTACAGAGCTTTTTGTCACCAACTGTGTTTGTGTAACGTGTTTCGTGTAATGAGCGATTATAAACGGCAGAGAACAAGTTCGAGGTGAGGCAGGCAGTTCTCTTGCCTCATGGCAGGGGGTGCTCAAGAGACTGAAAACATAAGGCAGGAACAGGACGGATCAAGGAAGGCTTTCTTCCCTGGCAGTGATCTCCATTGAGACAGAGAGACTTTTAAAACTGAAGGAAGATAAGGAGGACTTCTATTCATTTATAAGTAAAGGTAAGACAGTAATAACATTTATTTTGTTTTGTTTTTTAAGGAAATGTGTGTTTTGTGAGCTACAGTTTGTATGTGTAAGGATGCAGAAGTGAAACATAACCTGTAAACTGCTGTCAATCTATGCATCTATTTGCAAATCTGATTCTGATGACGTCAGTGCCTCACCAGCTATGAACCTCACCGCACGTCACTGGTAACAACAGTAGAATAATATTAGTCGGGAAAAATATTGTAAATTGGCATGGGCTAGTACAAATAAATGCATCAAAGAGCAAAAGACCTTAATGCAAATAAATAAAATGGAAAAACATCATGACCAAATTTGTATATTTTAGAATATTCAAAGCAAAAAACAATTAAATATTAACAGCCACAAAACAACATCCATAAGCAGGGGCGTACATTGCTACACAATAAATACTGTGTAATTTCCTGTGTTGTTAATGTCTGGTTCCTATAGTCTCCAATAATAACAAGGATAATTAATTAGATAATTGGGTAAACTCACCCAACTAAAGCCACTTAAGTGTTTATTTGTTACGGTAAGTCAGTCTTCATCAGTACAGGCAGGAATAACATCACATGGAATTAATTATTGAATTACTCTTGCTACGCTTGAGTAGAAGCTGTGTAAGTTTTGTTCCAGGGACACAAATGATCAATGTTTAGTATTCTGGATTGCAGTGTGATGGTAAAGTTTTTTTTTTTTTTTACCTATCCAAAGAGAATCTGTGGCAGCCTGGCATATGGAGACATTGATAAGCTACATTGTCAGATTAATTAGAAGAGAATGCTGGGAATGTACTCTCTGAATTTTTGTATTTTTGAGTTTCATAGAAATGCAAGGCAAAAAAATCTAAAATTAAATCATTTCGGTGGGGGTCAGATCTCCTGGTTTGAATAGTAACATGTTTGAGGGAACATACTCTGAAACTGATAGCTTCCAGTTATTCAGGCTGTTGTGCACTCTACAGAAGATGATACAGATTTATCTCTGTAAGGCTGTCTTCTGATTTTTCAATTGCACTCAAATGTGTATAACCTCACTTGATGACATACACAAAGATATTTGAAGGTTTAGTTGGCCCTATAGGTTGTTTTGTATGGTCATCAGTTTAAATATGTATCTGTGGCAAAACAAGCACCATGTGAAACACGTTTAAATGAATAAATGTGGCCTGTGATTTAACATGCTTTCAGTACTCAGTCACACTGCAAAAGTATGTTATTAAAGCAACCCATTTCACATATGGTCAGAATTCATATTTGGTATCAGGTTTCAAGTTTCACAAGGTTTCAGTCCATATGGCCGTGACGCCTATTTATTCTACTTTGATGGCTGAGGCCGATGAATTGTGCTACATGTGAAAAAGTTTCTCTGTGTTCATTAATGGTGCTCTTTGTATGGGCCCGTTTGTCATTGCGACAGGGAAGTTCCAGATGCAATCATAAAAGAGATGTTTTTTATGAATAGGGCTCTGACAGATGAATGTGAGCTTACAACGGCAGAGGAACAGAGGAAGGGAGTTCTCTTTACCCACGATATATATCACAGTGATGGCCCTGGCATGCTTTCACATATCTCATCTTTCTGCGTACAGTCACAGAGACACAGAGAGACACTGCACATGCAGCCATGCACAGATTCATTCTATATCCTTGAAGCGCTTGGGATCCTGTTGTTTGAGCTCTGGTAGCGACTGTCGTTTTGATCCAACTGCTGGTAGAGAAATGAGAGGGAGCATTGTCCCTATCCTACCCCATGTCCTCTCTAGACTTGGATCTCCTCAAACACTATTAAACTGCTCTGTGATATAGTATTGAGAAGGAGTGCGTTGAGCTACTCTTGTAGAGATTTGCCCTGTCAAAGGTCTAGGCTCTGTGATTTAGGAGATTGTGTCTTTGTCTAATAGTAGTGCTTCAGCTTAGTGGTTGCTGTCATCTCATCTCTGTGTTTCTGTAGGAGCAGGCATTGTCCCCACGTGTGTCTTCCATCAGACCAGCTCCCACCTTCTTCATGCCCACCCAACTGCCTTGGATCACAGAACAAGAAGAAGTACACATTTTTATTAGCCTCTCTTCAGTTTGATCATGTCTTTCATTGAGTAATAATGTTTTAAATATTATTCTGGTGTTTTAAACATAATTTTAGTCCACTGCTGGCACATTTCATGAGCATGTAACCCTTCTCACCTATTTTTGACACCACCTTGCAAACATTTTCCTGATTTTGCAGTTTATTCTGCCCCTGTTCTAACTTTATGGGTCCTTTGGGATCAATTTGTGACTGCAGGGTTTTTAAACATGGTCTAGTTCAATCTGAGTTTCTGTTTTATGCAGTGAACTCTGGTCTCTCAATCTGAGAAATTCTTCTTTTTAAAATAATGTTGCATATTTTTGGGACCAGCAGTCATATTCCAGTCCTCTGCACAACAGCCCACTCAGCAGAGAAGCATCCCTCTGTTGGTACATTTGATTTCCTGTGTGGTTTTCTGTAATGTTCTCCATTGCTTTTCTAAAACAATCTGGTTGTGACCCTCAGTGGTTTTCAGCTTTTCGACTGTTTAGCCTATTTCCACATAAATGAAATCTGAAATGGGATTCATGACATTACATGGTGGTTAAATGTAGCAGTTTACCACATTTCCAATTTAATTTATTACCATAGAATTTATGAAAACACGTTTTATTTAGTAAATAATGAAACTGACCCCAAACATATTCAGCATAGTTGTAACTTCTTATTTTCTTCAAATAAAGACATGAAAACAAGAGCAATATTTAACACTTGGTTTGCATTTTTTATATAGTTTATCCTATAGAAGGAAGAAACACAATTAGGAATAAAAGTGTTTTAAATGTAAATTTTATCATTATTACTCTAGATTTTGTCATAAAAATGTTTATAGAGCCGTTCTTTTTCTCTTCATCTATAGAATTTCACATGTAGAAAACAAATACAGTGTCCTTTCATCAATCCATCTAGTGTTCTTTTACATTTTTTAAAGAATTCAGACTTACTGTAGGACTTAAGATACAATTTAAGTTTAGTGCCAATCTCACTATTTCTGAATAGAAATGGACACAAATTTCTGCCATTATGCTTTAAAATGACATAGTTTGGCCCTACAGTATTTCAATTCTTCTGTCAAAGGCAACTAGATTTGCATTTAACATGTCTTGAGCCTTGAACACATCAAATCCGATTTATCATCCGAATCAACAGAAAATCCTGGGGAGTGGCGGCCGAGTGGTTAGGGCATAGAGCTTGGAATTTAGAGGTTCTGGGTATGAGCCCCACTCCTACAGACTGCCTTCTGGGTCTCTTATTAAGACCCTTAACCCCACACTGCTCCCTGGGCACCACATAATGGCAGCCCACTGCTCCCCAAGGGGATGGGTTAAATGCAGAGGTAAATTTCTCTAATGTGAGATCAATAGAGTTGAATTATTATTATCATAGGACGTGGTCGTTGCATTTAGCACTCATTGAAAGTCAATGGAGATGATCACACTCGAGACAATTTTCTGCAAGGGAGCTTGCGTTACTTTTACTGAGATAGACCCCAGGTCTATTTTAGTTGGACTACGCAGCTAGTTAGTCGCAATTTCATGGGTCTTACAGGAAGAGGGACGCTGTTTACGAAGTAAAGCACATCTGCTTTAGAGGAAAATACAAAATGAAATCTGTGAATTGCAAGAGAAAACAGTCAGGTTTTGAGTCACACAATGCATATGTAGCAGGCAGAGCAGACAGGCATGTACAATCAAGGAAACATTTAAAAAAAGAAAATACTCTACCTAGATAGAAGTTCAGGAGGAGAGGAAGTGGGTAAAACAGTTGTCCTCTACAAGCCTTGCAAAAAAAAAACATGGGACGGTGAAGAAAGAGCAGCTTATTATTTACATTGAAGATAAGCATAGCTCCAATATGGGGTAATTATCTCTTTTCCTTCTTTATGAATAAAAAATAAACAGCTTTAACAAACTTCACAGATATCTCTCTGACAATCACCTCCCACTGCTTTATCCAGTATCCATATAAACCCTCCCACAGCCTTAATTGCTGCTGCCCATTATATTCTTAATATAGTCCTATAAAAAATTCTCTCTGCTCTGGTTTAGAGATGCTGCACAGTGTATCTATGAAGTGTCAGCTTTGCGTTGTAACCATTCTGGTAGGTTTTTGCTTTGTTTTGTTTTTAATAACTTTTCATAATCTGTCCCAGTCAAATGTGGGAGATAGTTTCAATTCATGGGGCAGAGAGACAAAAGTGAAAAAAAAATCTGCACAGGTCAAGTTCTGCCCACCCCGCATAGTTTCAAAGCATTTATGATGTCTTGTACTCTACTTACGTTCTTCATGCTCTTGACAACTTTCTCCTTTTTTATCAGATGTCTGATCCATGTAGGTTTTAAACCTCTAGTTCCTGTTTATTACAGTAATGCTGAAAGTTTACTTCAGTAAATGATAACTTTTTTTTCTTTATCACATTATTTTACAAAAATGCTTAAAATATGCATGGCAATTGGATGGAAGCATAGCCAAGTGTGCATGGTTTGCTTTTCCACATATAAATACCTGTGGGTTATGCCAGACCCATCTGGAGTGTTTCTTGCCAAAAGGATAATTTGACAGTAAGCCTAATTTGGCTAAAGCAAATGCTTCCAGTTAGACTTGCCATAGAATTGTGCAAACACAGCATGATAACCAAACTACCTGTTGACATTTGTATGATTAGTTTGTTATGTTTGTTATGCAGGCCCAATGACCTCTCAAGTTGCCACTTCTTACTGCAGTGCTGTAAAGTAACCTTTGGAGATATTTAGATGTTTCTATCTTCCTTTCTGTTCTCCTTAAAGTATTTTGACAGTACAAATGTGGGTGCTTATCCATAAGTGTGTGTAACAGGGCTACGGTAAAGAAATAAGTATTTGAACACCCTGCTATTTTGCAAGGAGGGGTCTGAACTGAAATTGTTGTGGTAGGTGCATGTCCACTGTGAGAGACATAAACTAAGAAAAAAATCCAGAAATTACAATGTATGATTTTGTAGCTATTTATTTGTATGATATGGCTGCAAATAAGTGTATGAACAACTATTGCCAACAATTCCGACTCTCAAAGGCCTGTTAGTCTGCCTTCAAAATGTCCACCTCCACTTCATTTATTATCCTAAATTAGATGCATCTGGTCGTTAGCTGCATAGAGACACCTGTCCACCCCATACTAAAAGTAAGAATCCAAATACTAACATGGCCAACACCAAAGAGCTGTCCAAAGACACCAGAGACAAAATTGTACACTTTCACAAGGCTGGAAGGAGCTACATTACCAAGCAGCTTGGTGAAAAAAAGGTCAACTATTGGAGAAATCATTAGAAAATATAAATCTCCCTTGGACTGGGGCTCAATGCAAGATCTCACCTCTGGGTCTCAGTGATCCTAAGAAAGGTGAGAAATCCACCCAGACATACACAGGAGGAGCTGGTCAATTATCTGAAGAGAGCTGGGACCACCGTTTCCAACGTTACAGTTGGTAATACACTAAGACGTCATGGTTTTAAATGATGTATGGCACGGAAGGTTCCACTGCATAAACCAGCACATGTCAAGGCCTGTCTTAAGTTTGTCAATGACCATTTGGATGATCCAGAGGAGTCATGGGAGAAAGTTGTGTGGTCATTTGAGACCAAAATAGAACTTTTTGGTCATAATTTCAGTAACAATTTTTGGAGGAAGATGAAAGATGAGTGCCAGCCCAAGAACACCATCCATACTGTGAAGCATGGGGTGGTAGCATTATGCTTTGGGGGTGTTTTTCTGTACATGTGATAGAGCGACTGCACTGTATTAAGGAGAGAATGAGCGGGGCTATGTATCGCAAGATTTTGGGGAACAACCTCCTTCCCTCAGTTAGAGCATTGAAGTTGGGTTGAGGCTGGGTCTTCCAGCATGACAATGACCTGAGGCACAAAGCCAGGATAACCAAGGGGTGGCTCTGGAAGTAGCATATCAAGGTTCTGGCTTGGGCTAGCCAGTCTCCAGACCTAAACCCAGAGAATAGAGAATCTTTGGAGGGAGCTTAAACTCTTTTTCTCAGTGACGCCCAGAAACCTGACTGACCTGGAGAAGATCTGTGTGGAGGAGTGGGCCAAAATCCCTCCTGCAGTGTGTGCAAAGCTGGTGAAAAACTACAGGAAGCGTTTGACCTCTGTAATTGCAAACAAAGGCTACTGTACCGAATAATAACATTTATTTTCTCCTCAGGTGTTTCATAAACAAGGTAACAAGCCATCTTTATATGTATAACTCTCTCTATTGTCCTTCACGTAAAGTTGGGTAAAATAAATTGCTTATCTCAAGTGTCAACTGTTAAACAGAAAAAAAAAATAGATTAGAGCTTAGAATTTTTTTTGAAACTGTTCACCTGTAAGCAATATTGATAAAAATAAACATATTGTCTTTTACTCTTTAGAGATCCTAATAGAATTGTAACTATGGTGATCTTTCTGAGATGTTTTTGTCTTTACTTTACAGTTACCTTTTACAATGTTTCTTTCACGTTACTTAGTCTTGCTTATTCCAATGACCTGACCTCTGTGTACTTGCTCAGAAATTGCTACATCCTTGTTTAACAACAAAGATAATTCTGTTCTAAACTATTATTCTTATGATAAGTGGTGCTCTCTTTTTTTAATTAATATGATCAAACTGAAAGATTAAGTTTTTAACACTTTCAGTGTGAAAGTATGCAACTAAAGAGTCATTTCTTTTCAACCACTTTTTACCATGACTGACAGTGTGGTGGAATGCTGTATATTTCACCTAATTTGGTTTGGTTAAAGAATTCCTTTGTTATTTCTTCTGCACTTCAAAGAAATATTTTGTTGCATAAAATGTTTTGTGTTTTGTTTTTAAACTTAAACTGAAAGTAAACTGTGAGGAAATTCCAAGATTTCTTTTCACTCATTAGTCACCATTTTTATAATTGCAATAAATATATCCTTTTTTTGTGTGATTTTCAGATAGAGCAGATGAAACAGGAGCTGAGCAGAAAGGAGTCGGACATGCAGGCTCTGCAAACCAAGCTAGAAACGTTGACCAACCAGAACTCGGACTACAAGCAACACATCGAGGTCCTTAAAGAGTCGCTCAGTGCCAAAGAGCAGCGCGCAAACACTCTGCAGACAGAGGTGAGAGTGTGAACGATCATAAATGCAAAATGATTCCCTGGTATGTGACTGTTGATGCTGAGAAACACATGAGACATTCATGCAACATACAAGATCAAAACACTTAGAGAAAGTATTTCAGTTTCCTAATATGATATACATTAAAATAAAAAATAAAAATGTATTTCCCCAATATTAGAAGCAATGTGATGCTATTGCTTTTTTGGTTGAAATTGGTGAAATAAAAAGATGTGGGGTTTTAGAGTTAACTAGACAGATGCAACATTGATCTGATTGGTTTTGAGATTTTTCTTTGTTTTTCAATCTGATAGAAAGAAACTGGCCAGTTAAAGCTCACTCTGTTATTCCTCATACTGCCTGCTTCTCTTTTGAGTATTTAGGTGGGAGGAAAGCTATCTACGCGTGTGGCTTCTTTTTTTTTCCACCACCACAATTGTGTATGCTGGTGGGTCAGCCAGAAGGCTGAAGAAAGCTGGCAGCTTTTGTGCATGTTTGAAGTGTCTAAGGCTTTAGGGCTTTAATGATTTTATCAACATTGTAAGGGATAAAAAGGGGCTGAGTGTAGAGGTGTGGAGAAGGATGCATGCAAAATGTGTGTGTTTAGTGTGCATGTGTATAGCTAAGCATTTAGCTTTTTTTCTCCACTACTCTCTTGACTTGGAACTGATACTTCAGATCTCAGTGTTTGGCAGTTGAGAGGGGCCTGCTAACTATGTCCACTCATCATTACAGGAAGCAATTTGAGCCAAAATTAGGCTTAATTGTTAATACATGTGCAAATAATTTTGGCTCTTGCTTCTCGCTGAATACATCATACTTAAAAGAAGTACTTTTCAGTGGGTGGTTGTGTGTCTATATTTACCTACCATAAAAGGAGAGCTGCAATTGCAAAAAAATGTTTGTGTCATCGTGGCAGAATGTGCTCTGGGGACACCTGCTTTACCAAGCCTTATAATCCTTAAAGCTTGAGAAAGTATTTATCTGTCATTTCGTCTCAGCACAGCCAATCAACGGTTTCAGATGTGGTCAGAAAACAGAACAGGTGTGTTGAAATGAAAAAAGGCCCAACTATTAAGATGTATCTGTTCACCTTTCAGAGTTTTTAAGTTGAATTAGAAATAAAGGCATCATTTTCATTTACTGCCCATGTACAATAGTTTGCTTCATAAGTTACCCAACATATTACTTTAAAGTCAGATTATTGCACACCAACTGTTGTGCAATGTTGATAAAAAAAAACAAGTTTATCACTATATTTTTTTAACAATACTTTTAACAGTAGTGTATAATAATACTAATGATATGATAAAACAAAACTTTACAAGTTCTCGCAAGTAACATCTATTTTGTAAAAACATGACCATAAAAAAATCTTGTAAGAACAATACATTTTATATTAGAACTTTAATAATTAAATAATTTTCATTTTTATCCCTGTCAGAGGTGGGAAATACTGTGTCTCAAGTTTAAAGAGGTCCTTGTTTTCTTTTCCAAATAATTATAGCTGTGTTAAGTTGAAAAACACTATGGTATTTACTAATGTATTTATTAAAATACTCTATTTTTGTATAACATATTTTTTAGATTATTTTGTTCAGTTTAATCTTTATTTTTACTGCTTAGATTGTTAATATTGGAAAGGTCTTAATTATGTATTTTTCTTCCTTTCCCATTAAATCTTTCTTCATATTCATCATTCACAAATGTATTTATGTTGCAGAACTATATTTTAAACTGACCAAAAAGCATTGGCGCACATACTTCACCACAGAGAAGTGAAAATGAATATAGAAAATGTTTGATGGTAATAGCCACAGTTGTCAAATAATTGTGTTTATGGTAAAGTGAGGTAAACTATCCTTCCTCCATTGGTTTAACTGGAATTTCTCATGAGTAAATGTTTTAGAGCCAGTTTTTACCTCAGCTGACCCTCTGTAAACCTTATGACCCTGGTAAAAAGAAACAGGCTCCATAGGGAGAATAGGCTATGCACATTACTGTGGTTTGCTATCAGCTGGTTCGTTTTTGTCAAGGAACCATATAGCTCTGCCTTTTCAGGTTAGACCAGCGTTAGTATGATTGTAGTGGATATATTATCAATATCATTTCTAATTTGAAAAATATTTAAGTTTCATTTAATATTTTGAGCTTTTTCTTAGGCACATTCCTAAATTCACTTCAAACTTAGGACACATATAAATGACTGGAACCTCTTAGGGTTTTTTCATTATAACAATACCAGGATAGGTGCTTATTGTATGAACATTGAGTTTAATACACACATGTGTTTGTTTAGGGATTGGACTTGAATTTTGAATGAGAGAGGAACAACTATAATATTTCTGATTTTGGGTGCATCACTGCATTCTTTGCTGCTTCTCCTAACTTCTCAAAGGCCACTGCTGAGGACCAGTAATCTGATCCAGATCACAAATACACAAACACACAGCTGTGCACACACAGCCCCATAAACACAGAAAAATATATGTTGTCAGTTCTGATTACTCGACTCTCATCTCCGGTCTACAGTAATTTTTCTTGCTATTGAAGTGGCATTTTTTTCCCCTCACTTTGGCATGACTCGGGTTTCCTAAGTGGGCAAACCAGAGGATGACTAAAGATCTTTAGTGCGCTGTAGTGGGCCAGTTGATGAAATGCATTCCTCTGCTGCCTGTCAGTCAATCAGCAAGAGAGAAGAGCATCCTCATTCAGTGATAGTACCCAGGATCTCTATGTTTTAGAACAAACCTTTTTAAACATATTAAACTGGTGCATTAGACATCTTATAAAGGAGTGCACATTTTTCGTTTTGTTGGCTTTAACCGCTTAAAACTAAAAACCGGTATGTTCCAAATCCAAACTTCTTTGTTCCAGTCACTACAAAAGTGTAGAACTACGAGATGGCTAGCCTTAGAACAGAGAAGCCTCTGTATGCAAAGGAATGAGAAAATGCAAGTGCATTTATTTGTCAGTCAAAGTTAAGGACAGCATCTAAATGGGTGTGATTGAATCTGTCTTCAGATAACTGGAAAATGTAGAAAATAATGAGTGTACACTTTTCTGGGAGCTCTGTGGTTCTGCCAGAGTCTGTGGAAACTTAACCCTTTAATACAGTACGATGTGTGTGTGCCTTTCATAGCCTGATCAGGACAATGCTGCACTGTAATGATACCCCACCCGATCGGGTAACCTATCAGAGACCTTCCTGCATATTTAACAAACCCAGGAAACAAAAGGAGAGCTAAGCTGCCACAAGAGTTTCAGCTTTCAGCTCAAAGATTGTTTTATAAATGGAGAACGTAGCTAAAAGTAAGTTTTTATTTACCTGAAGGTAGTTTAATATAGAAGAAATACCCTTTTGTTTTATGTAAAGAATATCTTTCATTAAAGAACTGAAAGAAATGTAGGTTTTTAGAACAGTTTATGATTATAAATTGTTTCAACATCAGATTCAATGAATAATAGGAAATTTGGAAATCAATAACACTCATTTTATGAGCTCAATGTTTTCTTCCAAGAGGTTACTCACTCAAATAAATACTATACTTGAATCAGACTCAAGACGTCATTAAAGACGTCTGTGTTTAAAAAGTTAAAAAGTTATTTAGAAAACAACAAGTTGAACGGTCCTCTTCTTTAAGTTGTGCTTACATAGCTGTCAAGTCTCCCATTTTGCATGGGAAACTACCGTATTTCATCCCTCTGTCATCCCCCAGTACTTGAAATTTCCCATAAATTTCCAATAAATATTAATGTAATTAATATAGAAAGATATATATATATATATATATATATATATATATATATATATATATATATATATATACAAAAAAAAAAAAAACTGATCAGTCTCTCCAAATGGAAATGACAAGATCAATTTCTTGATCTTTTTGCTCTCGCCACCCTTCTGTTCATTGAGCTTCACTGGTTACCCCTGGCTGCCTGAATCAAATTCATGTTCCTGATGTTCAACTACAAAGTGCTTAAGGGTACGGCTCCAATCTACTAGAACCCTCTAGCAGAGGCTTATGTCACAACTCGGTCACTCCGGTCATTAATTGATTGTCGTCTAGCAGTTGCTACAACACGCTCAAGACAATCCAGACTGTTTCCATGTGTTGTTCCAAGATGGTGGAATGACCTACCAAGCACTACAAGACCAGCAGTGTCTACATTCACAAAACTCCTAAAGACCCACCTCTTCAAAGAGCATCTCTTATCCTAAATTTAACCCATAGCTCTTTACCCCTCTACTACTGTTTCTATACTATGATAACAAACATTGTGCCTAATTTGTAAGTCGCTTTGGATAAAAGCGTCTGCTAAATGCATAAACAAACAAACAAAAAGCTTTCTGCATGGCGTCCCCCAGTCGCCTTGCTGCTCAGGTACTGTTAGAGGACCAGTACGTGGACATATCCCTTGTCTCTTTAGGTAATGACACGTTGGCTTCCAAGTAGTCTCTTTCGGGCATTTCTCCGCATTTCCTGTTTCTGCAAGAAGACCTCTACTGAGTTTTGATTTTGAGGTTGAAATGTAATGACTCAAGAAAGGTATAAATGAGTCGAATAATATGCTAACATTGACTACAGTGACAGTGATAAATAGCAAAAACAAGAAGAGAATAAAAAAAGCGAGAGGGGATAATTTATGGGCGGATGGAGCGACAAGAGGAAGTGAAAGTGAGATGTTTAAGGGAATTAATAGATCAAGGTGTTTGTGGGCTTTTGTCAGTGAGTTATGCAATGTTACAATGTACTGTGGTTCCTGCTGGTCTATTACTGTTGATCTTTCTTTGTTCTTTTTGCTGATTGATGGTTCATATTGCTAGTGAGGCAGCAACAAGATGTTGTTTCAACATGGTGTGGGTACCCTATGAATTATGCCCTCAGTCTCTCTCTCTCTCTCTCTCTCTCTCTCTCTCTCTCTCTCTCTCTCTCTCTCTCTCTCTCTCTCTCTCTCTCTCTCTCTCTCTCTCTCTCTCTCTCTCTCTCTCTCTC